TGTTTTGTTTGTTTTTTGCGTTTTGTTTTTATTGCTCACCTTATATTGATGTATATATTTCCACTCCTCTCTGTAATGCCTTCGGGCCCTGAGAGTATAATAAATGAAATGAAATGAAATGAAATTGCAGCTGGGACGAAAGAGTGCCCATGTCGGAGTGTGCGCGCTGCTCAGGTTGCCCGGAACGCCTGTTGGTCCGAACAGCACTCTCAAAATAAGTGTGGCACATTGAGCCGTCCAGGAGTCGGCACAAAAGTCTGACACGCGCTACGATCCGCCGGTGGTCAAGAGGATGCCAGTTCACTTCCCTAAGTCGATCCTCGTATGACTGTGACCTGGCAAGTGGCCAACGGGTGCGTGCCAGGAGTGTCCGTGTTGCACGACGCTGAACTCCCTCCAGGCGCTGTGTGAGGTGAGTTTGATGTGGGCTCCAGATGGACGCACAATACTCGAGGCGTGGGGGTACCAGCGCTGTGTAGAGTACTCGAAAGGCCTCCGGGCCACAAAAGCGCGAGACCCTGGTAATGAATCCAAGAGTTCTGCGAGCCTTCGCCACAATACTCGACACGTGGGCGGTGAAATCGAGAGTGGGAATGAGCGTGACCCCAAGAATCCGGAGATGTGTAGCCACCGGTACAGAGGTGCCAGACATCGAGTAGCATAGGGGGTGCACTCTCCTTTGGGCGCTGAAGCGCATAGCGGCACTTTTGGTATGGCTGAATCTGAGGTGGTTGGCGATGGACCAGTCCACGGCCTGCGTCAAGTGGTCTTGAAGGAGAAGGCAGGATGAAAGTGAGTCCAGATGACTTTAATAAAAGCGAAGCATAATACGTAACACTCTGCTTTTTTGCAGCAAAAATACTTCGAATAGAGAACTTACCAGCCTCTCAGCGGGCGTTTTATTCCCAGCTTCGAATGCTTCGAATTTAAACGCCAAAAACGCATTTGCACCGTTTGTACTCCGCACTCTTCGTAGCAGCCCGTAGCCCGGCGCCTCGACACCTCTCGTTGGTCGTAACCCTGGGTAACCGTGTAACGGTTCTAGGTCAAGCATTCTTCTATTCATTCACGCAAAAAAAAGGGGGTCTTTTATATTTTTAAAAATTAGCGTCACTGGTGTAATAACTCTGTTTTATAACGATTACTTTTACACAGCTACTATAACAAGAAATCAAAAACATAAAAAGTGTTTAGTTCGCGATATGTGGTGAAGGGCGCTGCCTAACGCCCGTTTACCGGAAGTCGCCTTGAGTGGGACCACTGTCGGCCCTGTTTGGAGCATAGAGTTATTATAATGTACGCTAGAGGTTCAACTGGCGCTAGTGTGCTGTTGCAAATTGAAGCAGACAGCAAGCAGTCCGAAATTGACTTCCGGTAATGCATTTCTATGGGAAAAAGCAAATGCATTTTCACTCTGCGCTCGATTATGAGAACAAATATCACGAATAATTCGTACCTACTAGGCACATTGGAACATTTCCCATACACGCAGATGAAATAATTGGTCAGTTACGGCGTTTTTATTTTAAAATCGTGGCAAGAAAAACGGCGCTAAAACCGCTTCGTACATGTATTTATGTGCACTGTCGGACACTGTTAGCGCGAACACGGCGCCGGCGCTCTCTAGCGTGGGGAACGAACGAAGGACATGTGGAAAACCAAGAGAGACTGCAAGAACTACGCAGTAACACTGGATAAGTAATTCCTTGTGCTTGCAGACGATCAAAATAAATTGAAAGTCAGGTAATATAGTTCGATTAATAAATAAATACTGCTTTTTTCTTTCTGCTCATGAATACATGCGAATATGCTTGTTTTGTGTTCAAATCATCACCCGCGCTCCAAATCTTTGCAAATAGGCGGAAGCCAGAGAACAGGTGCGCGATAAAAACTGCCCAACATAGGAAATAATAAGAAAATGCACCTTTCGTAGCCCACGTACTTTATTCTGTACGTTTTGAATGTTTTTTTAACCACTCGTAAAGATGCACGACGGGTCATTTTCATATAGTGAGTGGACAGGCATATTAGCAATATATATAAGCACCAACGGAACGCTGGCGAACTTTGAACACTCTACATTCCTTTCGATCGTTATTTTGCTTGGAATCGTCGCTCGTTTCTACATACCTGCCATGAAACAGAGGTTTGGGCCTGAAATATAGCGAAGTTTAGCATCGTTCAGTGGTAAAGAAAAAATGCTGTGACTAAAGCAATTACACTTTAACAATATTAATGAAGGTACATACTATCCGGTACAACCGAAATAACAAAAGTTATTAATGTTATTTTCCGGCGACGAGACAAAATTCACGCGCGTTTTCCCATAGGAATACACAGGAAGACTGGAAAAGTAGACTGCATGCTGTCTGCTTCAATTTGCAACAGGAAGTCCCGTAGACACTAGCGCCAGCTGAGCCTCTAGCGTTTATTATAATAACTATGGTTTGGAGACCCCGGAGTAGGGAGGCTCAAGTGAGGGTGGGTGCAACTGCTAGATCGGCGATCACGGGACATGGACGCCATTTAATTGCTAAATTTTGCTGGGAGTCTATGGGGCAAAGGGTCGTTTTCTTTCCTAACTCGGGCCATAAAAGCCCATTAAGGTGCTTGAATAATTTACACAAGGTATAAATGATTACTTTTCCATAGCCACCAGTTTTGTTGCGATAGGTTAAGTATTTTTTTAACGCGAAAAATGGTAAATTCCGCCATCTTGGACGTTGCTGCTTGTCTGGCAACTTTGCTTTCTCCGCTCGACGTTTGCAATTCTCGGATTGAAAAGGTTTACTCCGACTTAACATAACAAATTAATAACAAAAGGTACATAACAAAAGGTTGTACCTTTTGTTATTAATTTGTTATGTTAAGTCGGAGTAAACCTTTTCAATCATGAATTCACCCGGCTTTTGGAACATTTTTGCAATTCTCGGAGCAAGAAGGAAGCGAGAGAGGCTGCGCCAAGGCGCTCGTTGCTTGCAATGGGAGGCGAGAGGAGGAAAGGCGCATGGAGCAACAGAGTTGCAACAGAGCGGGCGCCTGCTCTTGTGCAGGCAACACTGGCGCATATCCTTTCTCGAATCCTCTCCCTCAGGCGCCGCCATTAAATTGCAAACGCTCTCCAGGTTTTGAGTTGCGCCCACCCTCATTACAGCCTCCCTACCCCGGAGGGGCGACGGTGGCGCCGCCTGGTGTATCGAATACACACCACTCGCTTCGAGCGGGCGCTCGTATTGGTTGCCCATGGCAACAGCCCTCGCTTAATTCTCCGTTGTTTTAGAGCGCAGCTCTTAGGGGCCCGTTTCCGGCTTGAGCGGCGTCGCCGTCGGCGTCGGCGTCGGCGTCGGCGTCGGCGTCGCCGTCGCCGTCGCCGTCGGCGTCGGCGTAACCGCGCGGTGCATCATGGGAAATGTCCCATAATGCACCGCGCGAGCCCCCCACCAAGGCCACGTGACCTCGTGGGGGGTCACGTGACCCCCCGAAGTCACGTGACTCCCCTGAGGTCACGTGGCCCCCTCCTCGAGGTCACGTGACCCCCGCCGATGTCGCGTGACCCCCCGATGACGTCATCGTCACTGATGACGTCACCGGCATCCACATCGTCATCATCACTGATGACGTCACCGGCATCCACATCGTCATCGTCATCATCACTGATGACGTCACCGGCATCCACATCGTCATCGTCATCACTGATGACGTCACCGGCATCCGCATCGTCATCGTCATCACTGATGACGTCACCGGCATCCACATCGTCATCGTCATCATCACTGATGACGTCACCGGCATCCACATCGTCATCGTCATCATCACTGATGACGTCACCGGCATCCGCATCGTCATCGTCATCATCACTGATGACGTCACCGGCATCCACATCGTCATCGTCATCATCACTGATGACGTCACCGGCATCCACATCGTCATCGTCATAATCACTGATGACGTCACCGGCATCCACATCGTCATCGTCATCATCACTGATGACGTCACCGACATCCGCATTGTCATCGTCATCATCACTGATGACGTCATCAGTGACGTCACTGATGTCGTCACCGGCATCCGCATCGTCATCGTCATCATCCCTGATGACGTCATCAGCGACGTCACTGATGACGTCACCGACATTCGCATCGTCATCGTCATCATCACTGGTGAAGTCATCAGTGACGTCACTAATGACGTCATCGGTACCCGCATCGTCATCGTCACTGATGACGTCATCAGTGACGTCAGTTATGACATCATCGGCATTGGGGGTCACGTGACCCCCAAGGTAACGTGACCCCCCCTGGTTAGTTTAACCCCCCCCCCAGTGCCCTTCCCTCCTCCTCCTCAAGAGCTGCGCTCTAATTCGGCGTTACAGGGAGTTGTAAGCGGCTTTCATTTTTTTTGTTTTGTCTTTCTCCTCTTCTCGTTCGCTCCTTTCTCTCTCTCTCCCTCTTTTCGCTTTCACTCAATCTCTTTCCTTTGTTCCGAAAAGTGCGCGCCCGGAGAAGCTTCAGTTGTGGCTGAGGACTGACCGTGTAAGTACCCGTCCGGCTCATGCTTTGTCGAGTATTTAGCGGTCGTGTTGCAAAGAATTTTGCGCGAGTGAGTACAAAGGCTGCCGCCGCTGCCTTGCAAGCGATGCAATTCGTTCGCGCTTTGTTCCCGTGAGCCTGGTACGCTCCGTAATCGCTCTCTTCGGCGTCTCCTTCACCACCGAGGAGAAGCCGTACGCTTCGGTGCGTCGTCGATCTACGTGTCTTCGTCTGCAAGTGCTGTGTTTTAAGAAAAGACCTGTCTCTCCTCGTGCCGTGCGTGCGTCGACGTTCTGCGTCGACGTTTCCTAAATAATCCCTCCTAATTCAATTCTCTTATTGTCAACTACCAAATCTAAAATAAAAAAAAAATCTCTTATACCCTTTCTTTATATTACCCACTTTTCTCTTCTAGAAATTCATCCCAAACTACGCAGGAACACTATAGAGTGACCTCAGTGCTACCTGAAAGACCCGCGCATATACGTGTGAGCCTCGTGGTGAAAAAGTACTTTTTGTTCTTGTGAAGTGCGTCGTTACGAACCTGAAACACTCGCGCATTTCCCTGTGTCGTGTGAAGAAGTACTTTTCCTTTAAATTGTGCTTCGTTACGAAAGTTCCCACCTCAACGAGCCGTTTCTGTGTGCACTTTCCTGGTGAACTGTGGACAGAAAAGCAACGAGAGGAGTCCGCACCTAGACGACAAGCAAGGAAAGGTATTTGATTACAGCTCTTTCGTATAGTTTGAATATTCCGAATATTTATTTTTCTCATCCGGAGACTCCCAACGCATTCACGCCAACGGGCACTTGCTTTCGCCTTTTCCGAGGAAAGATGGCAGCGCGCAGAAGGCGATTTCTGAAATCGCCTTCTGCGCGCTGCCATCTTTGTCTGCTGGGCTGTGGAACGCACTCCAAGCACGCGTTGTTGATCTGCTGTGCGGTACATCGGACGCTGCGAGGCGTCCACAGCTCAGTGACTCAGCATTTTTTTCCCCGCTCGCTTCGTTCGAGACTGCCGCTGGAAAGGTCGAAAGAGAATAAAAATGCTTTTCCTTCTCGAGTAGGAAAATAAAACTTTAGCGATTCGAAATCTTCGTGTAAAAATATTGATATAAAACGAAAGTATTCCATTTAAAAGGAAATCATTATCAGTGGGTCCTGTACACACACTTCTTTCGCGGCACAAAAAATTTATCTGCGTTTATTAATACCGTTTTTAAACTTACAAACGAGCAGATGCTCAGAAATATATTTTTGCCTTCCAAGTATCCGGTGAAATCGAAATATAAAATAATTCCATTTAAATTAAATTTCTTTTCACACCTATCAGAGAATTTCATTGCATATTAGAAAATATATATTTCGGTAACACACAAAAAAAAGAAAAAAAGTTTTCGGTGCCTTCGAGGGTGAAACGGGGGATAGCGGCTTCGCGCGTGGCCGGCGATTGGAAGTTCCGTGTTCTCATTAAAAGTCATAATAAAACCGGAACTATTCGTTCGAAAAAAAATTATTTTGTACCATGCGTCTCCTACAGACACTGGCACGCTATACTAAGAGTGTCTATCTGCGTTTATTAATACCTTTTTGTCGACTTACGAACGACCAACCGCTCAGAGAGCGCGAAACTTATACTTTTGCCTTCCAAGTAAGCGTTTTGATCGAAATAAAAGGAGATTAACTCAGAATAAATTAAAATCCTCTCTTCAACTCTTAAAGAATTTCATTAGCTTTCAAAAAATATATATTTCGGTAGCACAAAAAAAAAAAAAATGTTTTCGGTGCCTTAGAGAGTGAAACGGGTCAAGACGTATAGAGGCCGGCTTCACGCTCGCGACGCGATTCGAAGTTGTGTTCGCGCAAAAATAATGATGATAATAATAATAATAAAAAAAAAACAACTATCTGGTTTCAAAGAAAATCCTTTTCCGTGTACAAACATTTCTTTCGCGGCACAAAAAATTAAGAACCTCTATCTGCCTTTATTTTAAACTTGAAAACACGTCGCGCGCGACGCGTACTTTTTTTGCCTTCCTAATCTAAACGATATTGTTTCCTTCCTTAACATCGTAGAAAATCACCAGTTCATGCTACGAGTGCGCACTTTGAACCATAGATGCGGACGAATGAGTGAATCATTTGACCACAAATAGTTTTTCTCTATATTTTTTTTTATAAGTTTGAAAAGGGGAAATTCTTCCCTGTCGGAGCAGAAAGAACGCCAATTTTCGGTAATGTTCCTCTCGTCGAGGTCCTTTGACCTTACAAGAACTTATTGAGGTTGAATTTTTGCGTGAAAATAACATTGGAAGTATTTTTAATTATTTTTTCAGTGTTGAAAAATATTTTTTTTCTTAAAATTCAACATTTATCATATCGTTCCAATATTTTTCTGTCATTACTCCCAATGTTTTAATTTTGTGTCATTGCTCGATTGAATTATTAATGTACTATGTTCTCCGTCGTTCTGTATTTATGTAGTGTCATTTGTTTTTTCTTTTTAGCATTTTGTATGGTACTATTGCGTAATGTTGCCTGTTCTGGCCTAGAAAAAACATTTCTGGTCTAGAGGAAAAAAAAAAGGCACTTACCAGGTTGGATCCCCTGCCAAGAGTCAGGTGCTCGCGTGATCTTGGTGTCTACATAGATTCTTCGTTATACTGTACATGTTAGAGTGGTCGTACTGTTTATTATTTTTATGCGAGACTTGGAACGATGCAAATGCCCCGAGTTCTTGTTTTCCTGTGCAAATATATTCATGGATTAATTCATTATCGAGATCTTAAAATATCCAGATCTCTTTGACCCCGTGACCATTAGGGGACCAAGATTTTGATGTTTTTAACCCGAAGTTCGTAGCTTTTAATACTTTTGTAACTATCCTGTAAACCTTTTGTTGCGCATCATTACCAAGGCGTCGACCTAACGTAACCTGTTTATTATGTATTTAATTTTTTTATTTATATTATGCTTTATTTTTATTTTTTAATAAACATTTCTGGTATAACCTAACCTATTTATTTTGCTTCTTCATTTCTCTCATTAATATTCTATTCTATTCGGCTGATATCGCGAATAGTTTTGCTGACTTCTTTCGTTCGTGTTATTCCCCTCCTATGAGTAGTTCTTTTAGTGCCACTAATGCTGGTTGTAATGCTTTTTTGTCTTCGTTTACTGTTGGCGCAGAAGAGATCGTAGAAGCCATGAGGGAACTGGAACCCAAATTATCGAGCGGTGTTGATGACATACCTATGTTTATTATAAAAAGGCTGCTGCTCTTTACTTGCCCCTGTTTTGATGCACATTTTTAATATGTCTCTAGCACAAAGATACTTTCCCGAGCTTTGGAAAGTGTCTGTAGTTGTCCCTATTTTTAAAAACGGTGATTCGACAATGGTTAATAATTACCGTCCTGTGTCATTGTTATGTAGTTTTGCAAAAGTTTTTGAAAAAGTGATATATAAACGTGTTTACTTATACCTTAGCCCAATGATATCTGCATCTCAACACGGGTTTTTGAAGGGTAGATCAGTTGAGTCCAATTTATGCTCGTTACTCTGCACCAGTGGTGTCAAGTAGGGGACAGGTAGATGCAATTTATTTTGACATGTCGAAAGCGTTCGATTGTGTATGTCATAATTTACTGCCACAGAAGCTTGCCTTGCATGGTTTCAGCCCGCATCTTTGCGCGTGGTTTTCCACGTATTTCATTGGTCGTCGAAACTCTGTTCGCATTTCTGATAGCTACTCTGACGAGTTTATTTCAAGTTCTGGTGTACCCCAGGGATCCATCCTGGGACCACTTTTATTCCTTTTGTTCATAAATGATCTTGCTTCCCGTATTACAGATGCAAAAAAATTCTTTTGTTTTGCCGATGATGTTAAGCTTTTTATAAGTGTGAGGTCACTATCTGATTTCTCCCGTCTCCAGGCTGACATAGAACGTGTTTCTGAATGGTGTGCCAAAAACCGCTTGTCACTTAACCCCAAGAAAACTAAATCAATTCTGTTATCCAGAAAGCGTGACATACTTTATTTTTTATATAATTTGGGAGGGGCCCCGATTCCTCGGGTTCCTTTTATCAAGGATCTTGGTGTATTCATCGATAGTTCACTATCCTTTAATAATCACGTGTCTATAACCGTGAATGCAGCACTGAGAGTGTTGGGAATGATTTCACGGTTGTGTCGCCAGTTTTCTACACCCCGTTGTTTACTGCACTTGTTTAAGACATTAGTGAGGTCAAGATTAGAATTTGGCTCAATCATTTGGAATTCATTAACGTTATCTCAGGCTCTTTCAATAGAAAAATATGCAAAAATGAATTATTAGAATTGTGTATGACCGTTATATTGGAAGGAAATATTTTTACCATTATGAAACGTTACTTCGATTTGCGTTGCACACGCTTGCTGTGCGGAGGCAATACAGAGATTTTATATTTCTTCACAAAGTTGTACACGGAAAAGTGAATTCAATTGATCTGTTGCGTTTCATAGACTTTCATGTTCCGTCAAGGGTCACAGTAGGAATGTGCTAACCTTTTACCCATCTTGTATGTCATCTGTGTCTCCTTTTCTTTGTTCAAACCAGTTCATGTTTTATGTGCGAAAGTGGATGTCCTTGAATTACTTATTGTAAGGCGGGTTCTGTATAGTCTTTCAGTTTCTGTTATCTGTTTATATTTTCATTGTGACAACTATTTTAATGTTTGATACAGTGCTGTGTTTTAATTTACTTTATGTACACCACATCATAGACTGTAAAGTTGTTTGTGGGCACGTAAAATAAAGATTTATTAATATTATTATTATTATAGTATTATATGATATAATATTATATGCTTCATTGATTGCTTGATTGATTATATTATTATTATATAATATAGAATGATATATACAACTGCAGTTATGTGATTGCTGCACCAAACTGTGCCAACTGGCTAAACCCTGCCTACATCCTGCTACATTTTGCCAAAATATGGGTAATTGGCGCCAAGCCTGCGCCAAAGGACCATTTCGGTCGCCTTTCAAAACCGAAACTAAACTGAGTACCGTAATTGAGCATGCGTGAGCTAGGTGGCGCAAGCGGCCGTCCGACGCAATGTACCCTGCATCAATCGTGGCAATGTAACCCTGGAGCCGGGGAAAAGAAGGGACGTAGGGCAGGAACAAAACTCCAGTGTCGGTATTGAACCGGCTCGCCTGCACCCTTGCTTTAATTACATCGTCTATCCGGTCTCGCATTTTTTTCCCCGGCGTTTCTTCTTTCGCCCTCTCGTCGTCTCGTAAAACTCGTCTCGCATTTTTTTAAAATTTTTTTCAGTGTTTGATGCGGGCGTGTGCGAACGCTCCGACGCTAACGTGCTCGGTACCAGCCATGCCGTCACGCTGTGAAACGAAATTATGTTTTTGCGCGGCGGGAGTTACTTCTTGAGCTGAAACACTCTCTTCTGAAAGCAACGGCCGTGGGAAAACTATTTGGTCCGTGCCGGCCAGTCCGCATGTAGCTACAGATATGGAGCTTCCTAAACTAAAACATAAGGACCGCCACATGTTCATCAACATTCCTGTTCTTGTTTAAATCATATTACTACAAAAATCCCTTTTTAACTCAGACTGCTGTGTGGAAGTATTGATTATCTAGGTTTCTCTCGGTTGGCTTTCTTTCAAGAGGGACCCCGGTGCTTAAAAAATTTGTCGCGAAAGAAAGT